AGGATGGGTAATTGGGTTGATTGTTTGATGATTAAATATAATAATTATATTATTGTGGGTTGAAAACCCAATATACTCACCAGGTTTCCCAACCTGACCCACTCAGTTTATTTGTATCACAGGTGTCGATACGAAGCTACTTTACACTGAGAGATTTAAAGGAGATGTAGATCACTAGTGTAAATAAATGTAAGGTCTGTTTATGCTTATGTTTCAGTATTGACGATGACATCCCAAAATTTTAATATGAACAAAATACATTTCTTCGGAAATGCTTTGAGAATATATTTATCATGTTTTTCTGGGAACAAATTCCGCAATATATTTATTTAAAAATATACTCTGATTTTCAAATAAAGCTTAAACAAATCGGTCTTTTCTGGCCGTGAAATTCGGGGATGTCACAATTATCTTAATTTTTAAAATCTGATTTTAAAATATATTAATTCTCTAAATTCAGACATTCTATAAGAATGCATTTTCTAACAGAATACAAATTATGATAAAACGTATATTCTGATAGAATACATATTCTAATTGAATGAAGATATTGAAGAATAACAATATTCTTAAAGAATAATCATTTATTATTAGTATTATCCAAGAATCTATGGTCCAAAAGTAAACAAAAAAAATTAAATTTACAGTCATGTTCTATAAAAATACCGTCATTTTTGGAATTTTTGTCACATTCTATAAGAATACAATACTTTATAATAAGTCACTATTGAAAAAATCTTAATTCTATAAGAATACAATGCTATTCTTGACAGAATTTTCATTCTCATTAATGTTTACTGCTTTTCTAGCTTGTATCTCTTGTTATATTTTGACATATTGGTGTAGTAATTTCCACCCACCATTGTTGTTCCAAGAAACTTTGCTTCATTCTGAGTAGTCCTGAAACAAGACACACACAAATAATGAAGTTCATAAACATTTTAACATTTTAACAAACACCTGGTAGACATCAATCTATCATAAACTTACGCATATAAAATGAGACATATCTTTGATTCCTTCCTTGCAAATAATGAAGTTCATAATTCTTAATAACAAACCACCACACAAAGTATAAACAAAAGTCAAAATTCTAATTAAAATAAGCTACAAATTAATTAAAAAGCCAACGAGGAAGGGATGTTTTCAAATGCAATCTCTTTAAAAGAATCATAAACACATATCAAGCACTTTTAGTCATTTATCTGATCAATATCAAATAATATAGTTGAAAATTTGACGATTTAAGTTTTAACGAAGCTATATTTAATTAATGGTCCAACTTTATGATTGAGTTTCATTTTGATCGACCATACATACCCTTATGATGATTCTTTATGAGATATATTGCACTACTTTTAATAAATATATATTCTTGTTTTGGAGCCATGTGCTAGGGACGATACACATGTTGACCTAACATTACTAAACAAACGAAACTTCAAAAGTTTCAGAAACAAAAATAAAATATATATAATAAAATTTTAACAATTACTTATAAATAAATAAGAACAACCTGTAGCAACAACCGTTGAGATATTATGGCCAGCAAAACCAGTAAAATCGACAGTAATGGTGAAGAATGTGATTGTGTAACGCCCGCGTTTCTGGCTAAGCAATAATATTATGATGTAATAGTTAGGGTCAACAATTGTAACCTATTTTGAAGTAATTAAGATGAATTATTTGAGTATTATGTGATTTATGTGCAATATACGTGCTTATAACGATGTAATAAAATAATAATAAAAATATGCGTCAAAAATAAAATAATATATGGACCCAATATCTATGAAGATAGTTGAAGTGGTCGTGACAAGGATTCCGGTGATATAAAGAACGTTGAAATCCGACTTATAACGAAGAAGTTATGACCTGTCGAAGTTTTGCGACAAAACCGGCACGACGCTGTGTATCGTAAAAAGTGAGTTTGCGATAACATACTTTTTAGCCTTAGCGATCTAAATAAGAGTCATAGTATACGTTAAACCAAGAGCTTGCACATAGAGAACGTCCAAATCTGACTCCGTTAGATGAAGTTATGATTTTTCTAAGATTTGACATAGCATTATGCAGCCCGAAAATCGAATTTTAGATCGATTGATTTTTAGCCAACACAATCTAAACGAGAATCGAAGAACTCATTAATAAGAACTCAACGATATAAAGACAGACGAAAACAGACGTTGGATGACAAAGTTATGAATTTTTAACGGACTTTAACTGTCTAAGTCTGTTAAAAAATAACATTAAAATAAAATCAAAATTAGCCAATGAAGTCTAAACGAAAGTTGTAGATCATGTCGCTACCTACGCGTGGATATAAAGAACATCAAAAACGGAGCTCGTATGCGCAAGTTACAGAATTTATAAGATAATTAAATTATGGATTAAGATGTGAGGCTGACACGTGGCACAATCCTGACCGTTGCTTCCTCCCCACGCCTTGCCACCGGATGGTGACACCTGTCCACGTACGCCCAGCGTAACTTGCAGTACGCCCCAACATACTGCAATACGCCCAGCGTACCTGTTATGTACGCCCCGCGTACTCCGAGTTCCCAGCCTATAATTAGAGGCGCAAATCTCTCATTTTCTTCACACCAAAACCATTCTTTCTCTCTCAAATACCCTCCTTAGCCCTCCCCTTCCCTAGCACTTCCCAAGTGTTAGAGGCGAAGCCCAAAGCGCCATAAGGCTCCGAGAAGATGAACTTTCGGCTCATAAGTTCTTCCCCTGCAGAGCCCGACTCCTAGCTAAACCCCCTTGTAAGTGAGTTATGCTTACCCTACTTTAAGTATAACTTAGATTTAAGTTTATTATCGTTATTATGAACCTATAAACAGGATTTATCAGTGATTCAAAGTCATTATACTGATTGATCTACTTACGGGGATGATGTCTAGGTTGTGATTTAGTAAGGTGTTTAAAGTAGGTTTTCCAAACAGTATACTACATATACCAAACGGACCCTACCTCCGATATGATCCTACCTGGTTGTTCCTTACTTGATAGATCATGACGTATACCTTGATTCAATGATAAATCTTGACTAATAATTAGTCGCAATAAATATTAGACTAAAATCTAGTAATAATGATACTAGGTTTCGTCGAAGGAAAATAAAATTGTTAGAAGCGAAGCGCTGCCCGAGTTTGGAGTCATCACTTTAACAAGTGAGTGCATAGTTACACTACTAGAAAAACAGCCTTTTACGAGGCGCAATGCGTGTGGTAAAACGCTCAGACGACGCGCAAATGCGTATCAAGGAAGGCCCTGTCATAACGAGAGACGACACGCTTTTGCGCGTCGTCTATAGACGACGCGCATTTATGACACGCATTTACGACGCGCAATGCGTATCAAGGAAGCCCCTGTCATAAAGGAAGACGACACGCATTTGCGTGTCGTAACCTTAGGACGCACGTTTAGGACACGCATTGCGTATCATTAAAGCCCTTGTCGTAAATGAAGATGACACGCATTTGCTTGTCATAAACTTCAGCAACCATTTACGATATACATTTACGACGCGTCTTTACGATACTCATTTACGCATAATATAAAAATATGGAAACAAATATATACCAAAACAATCAATTTCATCCATAACATCATGTCAAAAAATTGTAATACATTGGTATTAAGGGGATCCGATTGTATATTGTTATTAAAAGGTTTTCCCTAACTATATAACCTAATACTACATTGCTATTAAAGAACACCTTAAATCAAAATTGTAATCAGATTCGACATTTCCAACAAAAAAAAAAGAACAATTAATTTCTTTCTACATAAATCTGCTCCTTAAGAAAACTTAAGCACACCGAGAATCTTATAACCAGAGGCAAAACAATTTAGTGCAGCCTTTCTAAGATCACCATCCCGTTCTGCTGTTAGATTTGCAACAATTTGCAGGTTTTTTATTTGTCCACTTATCTACACCATAATCATGGAAAGCATGAGCAACCTTCAGCTATAAGCCTATAAGGTGTGCGTGTGACACATTAATTGAAAGGACTATCATATGTAGTTATATACCTCAGTGTAATGGTCATCAAGCAAAAATCCAACAAGATTAGTACACTCAATTTTTGTCTTGTTGTTTCTAGAATGCAAACCTTCCAAAATATATGGGAAAGTTATAGCAGCTGAATAGCTATGTATGATCTTCTTCATAGTTCCATCATTTGTTCACACAGTTTCTCAATGGTATGACCAGTCTGCACAAGAAATTAATAATAAAGTCGATATATGACTAACATCCATGTATTTTAAGAACATTAATTAGGGTCAAAAAAACCTGCTCAACCAAGCAAGGAAGAAAGATGGAAGCTTCAGATAGTAGAGAAATCGACCTACACATAGGGATGCGCCAATTAAGCTTGTGTGAAGTATTAAGAACTTTAGATAACATCTAAAGAACTCCTTCACTGAATAGTATTCGCTGTAAAAAAAGCATAAATCATTAAAAATGAGCAAATATTAACTTTTAAGCAACAACTTAATAAATAGTATAGTCTAAAATTTCTTGCAATACATGCCTCAACAATCAGATGTCTCAAATTTCCACTTCACCTTTTTGTCAACAGAAAATTCAGAAATAGCTGAAATAAATCCTTTAGATTGTATTTCATTCGCATCAGCGAATTCATAAATCTTATCTAGAAATTCTTGACTGCTTTGACCTTCTTGAGAAGACTCATAGTATGAACACAGTTGGTCCAGAAAGTTTAATACCTTCTTCTTATGACTGAAAAATAGAAATCAATATCAGAATTAAATAAAAATCCCACACGACCTCTTGGAGAATCTGCCAGCTGTAAATATGTGTTAGTTTTTTTGCGCTTGATAAATAATAAATTATTAAATTAATAGTGAAAGTGTACCAAATAACATATTCCTTCATGGAGTAACTTAATCCCTTTTCTTGATGTGACATCAACAGCAAGAAGATGAGTTATGGGCTTCAAGTCATCCATAGCTAAGAAGGGCATTTTTGGAATTAGAATAAAAAAGCAAACGGTTTACAAAAGTCAAATTCAGGAATTGACCAAAATCTTACTTCCAACAGAGTGTAAATATTCGATATTATTTAGCAAAGATTCATCACCGAGAATCGATGGAGTCGGAGAGACAAATTTAGGCTTCACCTTTCCTCCAACAATCTGTTTATAAAATCCAAGATGAATTTAGTACAAAAACATGACAAATATTTTATAAAAATTAGGGAAATCGATTCGAATTATCGTTTCAAACCTGTAGATTATAGCGATGAATTCCATTTTCAGATAAATATTTATCCAAAATATCAGTGCGAGAATTTATACGCCCATAGTAAACTTGTTCCTGGAGTCTTGGAAGCTCATTAGTCATTGCATTCATTAAAGCTTCCTGAATATGTAATAAAACCATGGAAAATTACTATTTAATAATAATGTTAAATTTAATATGCATAAAAAAGAGAACCTCATTTGAGTCAGGTTTAAAATAATCTTCACGTTTTACAGTAATGTTTCCACAAATGCCCTTTCCACATGGTGAAGCACAGGTGCATCTTCCTCCCCTGACTCCATCTGCAATTTATGTATCTGTATATATTTTTTAAACATCATTTATCCAATCAACACTTGATCTTAAAAAAACAAAAAAGAACAAAGCCTCAATAGCTATCAATGTACTAATTAAAACCCATACATTGCTGAGAAATTGAAAAGCCTTCTCGATCCCATGACTCTCTTTGATATAAAGAAAAAGGCGTATAGTCTGCAGATCATTAGAATGCATATATTAATTGGTGACTAATATATTAACAACAAAAAGAAATTAAAAAAAGAAAAAGAAAAAACTTGTTACCAAGCTTGATAGATCTTCCTTAATTGAGTTGTCTGAAGATGGCAATTCTCCACCGTTTTCCTCACGTTTCTCAATCAATTTTCCCGAATATAATATCACACCAAAGTTATAAAAACCGTTTTAATAAAATGTTTCATGTAGAGTTAGCTGTTCCACTTCACCTTAGTTACTAAAGAGCATATGGAGACTGATATTCTCTGAATCACATCAACAGCTGCTCCAGACCTGATATTCTCTGCATCACATCAACATCTGGTTGTAAAATCAATGAGTGTAACAAATATTTTTTTACAGTTTTACTTTTAAAGATCATTAAGATTTAAAGATCATACCTTTGCACCACATAAAACTAGAAGACAGAGAGAGCTAGACGCCATAACCTTAACAACCCCACCTAAGGAGATGGAGTGATCCTTTTCATTTTGATCCCATTCATCCAAATATGGAATATCCATTTGTCAAAAACATACAATCAGAATTAAGAACAATATTTTATATTAAAAATAGGGGAAAATCAATAACAAA